CTTAACCCTCTTGCCCCCCCTCCCCCCAGGTCATAGCTTCCTTCCAGACCCTGTACCCACTCCTCCACCCCTTCCCCAGGCCAGAACCCTCTCCTGCCCCAATACCCCTTCCCTGACTCTGCACCCCACTCCTCTGCCCATGGACATCGCCCAAACACTCTGCAACAACTTCTTCCAGATCACACCTCCCTCCCAAACCCTGCCCCCCCTCCTAGAGCCCCTCCCTCAGGCCAGAATCATCTCCTGCACCCATACCCACACCTGGCCCCTGGCCCCCCTAATTCCCTGCCCCAGGTCACAACCCCCTCCTTCACCCAACCTCCTTCTCAGACTTCACACCTTCTTCTGCACCCCAGTCCTCTCCCCAATTTCTCTTCTGCACCCAACCTCCGTCCCAGACCCCACGAATCCTCCACAGAAGCGTGGCCCTTGACCACTTGCCAAAATCTTGGGAGTGGCCCCTCCATTAAAAATTATTGTCCACCCCTGCTCTACAAAATTCACAGTCCATTTTGGTTAATTTCATAGTCAGAGGATTTAAAAAAAACAAATATCAGTATTTCATCTATTTAAATCTGCTATTTCACATGTGGTAACTGTAGGTGTACTAACTGAAAAAGGAGTTTTGCGGGGGTCACAAGATTACTGTAGGTGGCTTGTAGTACTGCTACCCTTACTTCTGCACTGCTGCTGGCAGTGGTAGTTAATGCAGGCCCGGATGTCAGCTCTGAAGACAGGGATGCCATCAGAAGCAATGCAGAAGGAAAGATGGCATGGTATGGTCTTATTGATTAACAGAATATAATTCTTTTGTTTCCAGACAGATTAACCAGCGAGCAAAAGGCAGACACAAGATAGTAAACTGGACTGTATCATGCAAACGGAGAGGAAACATTTTGGAAAAAAAAAAAAAGTGAAGGTATTTTATGTAGTTTACTTAGTATAGCATTTCCTTCTGTACATCAGAAGATAGCTGGAAAATTCTTTACTAATCTTTATGAACTTCTGTTAACTCCACAAGGGTTGATACGTAATGTAGTACCACAACATGTATAGTATGGGAAAAACAAAAACTGTTTCAACGGCAAAACAAGAGCCACTGTAGTTATAGAAACTAGGATCTTATTTCCACTCACAGTGAGTCTATGAACCAGGGATGTTACATTTAGATTAACTGGCTAATTGAATAGTTGATGCAATTTGCATCAACCACTCAAGCAATCGATAAGGGCGCTTCCACCTTTGAAGTGCAGCAACAACCCGAGGGCTGCTGCTACACTTCAAAGGCAAAAGCGCTGCAGGGGGCACAGGGACAGCAGGGGAACTCAAGCAGTCTCCCACTGGCCCAATGCTCCCCACAGTGTTTCAAAGTGGCAGAGCTGCATGGAGCCCAGGGTCCCGAACTGACTCCAGGCTGCATGTAGCACTGCTGCTTTGAAACGCCGCGGGAAGCCCGGTATCAGGCTCCATGCGGTGTTTCAAAGTGGCAATGCCACATGGAACCCAGGGTCAGCAGGTGATTCCCCAGCTGACTCTGGGCTGCATGTGGCATTTCAAAGCAGCAGTGCAACATGGAGCCCAGGGTCTGGCCCCAGGCTCCACATGGTACTGCTGTTTTGAAGCACCCTCTCCTGTCCCGCCCTTGTTGCCTCTGATAGAGGCATCAAGGGAGAGGGGCGGAAATTGACTAGACTGTTGACTATCCAATGAGCATTTTCTTATGGGATAGTGGACTAGTCGTTCACATCCCTACTGTGAACCAGCCTTTATGCTGTAGATGAGAGCCTGGGAGGGAACAGCACCAGTGAGGTCAGGAGAGGGAAGTTGGGTCCTTGAATGTAGATCATAATTTAAGAACTCTAGCAGAAACTTCCTTGATATTAGCAGGAAGGGGTTACTGAGCACATCAAAGGAAGTCAACTGCTAGAAGAGCCACACTATGGAAAGAATGAAAAAATATAAATAAAAACAAAACTACTTATAGGAACAACACATCCATTCATCCAAATCCAATTTAGACACATCTCTAGCTACTTAGAAAGCCCTGGTCTACACTACAGACTTACGTTGCTATAACTACGTCACTCAGGAGTGTGGAAAACCCACAATGCCTGAGCAACATACTTACACTGACCTAACCCCTGGTGTAGATGGTGCTATGTCCACTTGAGGGCTGGTGGAACAGCATCTTCATCAAGTGCTGCTCTGCCATGACAGCATTGGAAGTGTAGAAAAGCCCTGAATCCACACCGTAGAGCACACAGGACAAAAATCTGAATCAAATCCACATATGTAGACAGAAAAGCTCCTGTCCCTTTATTCCTCCTCTACTGTGTTTGCTCATTTCCTCAACCTCTCCCAGAGTGTTGCCATTCCTTATTTGTCCCATTTTTTTCTGTGACTTCTTGATCCATCTCCCAGTCCCTCACCTGAAGTTGGCAGGCGGCAGTTAGGGTTTCTTGCACATTGTTCAGGCTCAGTTCCAGCTCAGAGGTGTAAATGAAGCTCAGGATTTTACACATAGCATTGTAGGAAACTCCATGAATATGAACCTCCTCCTGTCCCATCTCTCTTAGCCCACCAGCAAACATGCCTCTGTAGAAAGAAAAAGATACAGACGACACTGGAGACGTGCCAAAGCTATGTACAGTTCAACCCATCTTAGCCATACTGTTCTGGGGTCACCCAAAAGAGTCAGACAGACAACTGGACAGACAGCTTTGCAAAGCCTCCATGTCTGTTGCCAAATCCAGTTCTCCAGGAATTATGCCAGGCAGTACAGTTTTCAAACTGGAAACCCAGAGCAGAGCCTTTTCAGAATGCAGTGAAGACACACCAGCCAGCTAGTTCTGAAGATCCAGAAGGCAGTCAAGCTTTGGATAACCAGCTGTACACCTATTCTCCTTGTGCATCCTTGCATTAGTTTAACCTATAAATGGCTTCCTCATACATCACTGGGCACCCTGGAAAGCATAAAAATCTCCCTCATTAAATGAATTAAAATGAATAAAAGCAATATAGACTTCTGCATCCCACAACGGGGTCGTTGTCTTTAAAAGATGTTAGGACTCATGTTATAAGCCCTTGTTTTAAAGAAGTTTAAAACATATGTGGAAGTGTGCTAGCCTGGTGACAGTGCTTTAATGCTACAAGTATAAGAGGGGTCGCCGTGTTAGTCTGAATCTGCAAAAGCGGCGAGGAGTCCTGTGGCACTTTATAGACTAACTGAAGTGTTGGAGCATAAGCTTTTGTGGGCAAAGACGAAATTTCCACTACCTGCATCTGACGAAGTGGGTCTTTGCCCACGAAAGCTTATTCTCCAGCACTTCATTTAGTCTATAAGGTGCCACAGGACTCCTCGCCGCTTTTGTTAAATTCTTGACTCTTAAGGTCCTCTAACCACAGCAATCCTGTAACCTAGCAGGACTTAACAGGACTCTTGAATACACCAACCATTTTCATATAAGGAAAGTGTAGAATAATTATTTCAGGATATTATGAATAACTGATAACATGTTCAGATGCCCTTGCGTTCTCATCCAGAGAGGGCTGGAGTGATAGGGAAGTGAATGCACTGAGTTCAGAGGTGAACAAGCCCATTAAGTGTCTACATTGCAGGTCTGACAGACTTTGACACGTTGAAGACCAATCCCGCCTCCCATCCACAAAGTCCTCAGGCACGTGCCTGTATGTTCTCAGCACGTGCGCTTGGTGGCTCATCCAGGGATACAGGTATAAGTTTGTCTCACTGTACCATATTTCTACCCTCCCACTTTGTGTTGAAGACAGAGCTAAGAGTTTGCGTAGCTAGGTTCATGCTGAGACAGTCCATCAAAGCTGTCCCACAATTCCTGGGGCCTGTGTGTGCTGGTTTTTCTAATTCCCAAGCCCCTACTCACCTCAAGCAACCCCAGCTTCCAGAGATGTGAAATTTGTCAATGCACAGATGGTATAGACAAGGCATGGGCATGCATAACACTACAGCACATACGCGTATCAGCAAGATGGAAAAACACAGCCTCACAGGCAGAGGTGCCCAGACACAGTTATATTATGCAGCGTAGGCATACTCTGAGCTGCTAGGAGGAGAAAGGAGTGACTTACATCGTTCAATTGCAACCTACCCACAGCTGAGTGGACGGGGTCCCTAAGGAAGACCCATGCAATCCCTGTTTGGAATGATAATGGCTGTTATGTCAGGCTTTATGGACTGAACAACTAGGCGTTGTTTTACTCTTTGAGTACAAAGAAACCGATTTGCTCTAGATGTGATCAGAGCTGAAATCTGGGAGTGTGTGTTTTGGACCAGTGTGACCTTACTCCAGACTTGGGGAAGCATGGGGAGTCCCAAGGGCGAAAAGACAGAAGTCCAGCCAGGATTCAGAAGGTTTGAGTCATGGAGAAAGATGCTGGTTAAAGATTAACCAGTGACATGGCACATACCTGAAATAGTCACACGATGCAGCCAGAAGTATCCGATGAGCTTCAATGGGTTTCCCTTCCACTACCAGGACTACATCAAACAGGATGCCACTATCTCGGAGGGAGACCAAGCCGCTGAGTAAGGACTGGGAATGCTGTGCACTGCGGTACGTGTGGCTGCTGCATTGCTGGAGGGAGGTCTCCCAGGGAGTCTTGCATGTCTGAGTCAGCTCCTGATCTTCTGCCATCACCAGTAGAAATGTTCAGAACCTCACAGCCACCAGTTACAGCAAGATGAGTTCTGAGACCACAGAAACAGCAAACTCTGAGTCATCCTGATCTTCTGCCATCACCAGTAGAAATGTTCAGAACCTCACAGCCACCAGTTACAGCAAGATGAGTTCTGAGACCACAGAAACAGCAAAAGTTTGCGTGTGCTGATTCCCTCGCAGCATTTTAACTCTTACCGCACTCAACAAGCGGGTCCGCTCAGTGGCGGTACCACGCCGTTTGCAAACCTATTCCAGGCCTGCGCGGAGAGGCCCTGGGGAGCACGGCCTGTTAGTTTTTCACACCCCTTGAGAAGAGGTTTAAATAGAAACCGGGAGCAGTTCTCACATTACCATACGCACTTTCCCCTGGAGGTACCATCTCGTGGCTGCTGGAGAGGAGCCACATGCACGCGGATGTAACTGGCGCTGCTGTCACCCTCCCAGACCTGCCTCCTGCCGTTTCTTTCCCCTGCAGGCGGCTGAGGGAGCGAGCCGCGTCTCACC